CGGCAGGAGATATATCTGGGTGTCATCAGCGTACAGGTGGCAGTGGAATAAAAATGAGGAAATAAGTTTGTCAAGAGAGCAATATAAAGTGAAAATAGAATGGGACCAAGGACAGAGCCTTGGGCGACTCCAACAGAGACAGGACGAGGGGAGGAGGTATCATTAGAAAAAGAGACACTGAATGAGCGTTGGGAGACATATGACAGAACATATGCAGTATTAAATAAGGGAAGAAATTATACCTCAGGCATCGATGAAATAATGAGCAGAAGACAATTTTGCACAGACTTGGTATATCATTTTTAAAGGCAAGCATAACCATTGTAACAACTCTTTGGTCTTAAAATTGTATTGACAAATTAACAAAGTGATACAACATCCTGCATACAAACCCTTAATTCGTTAAAATTGACATTTAGTGAAAGTTAAGCCTCACATGATATTTCTTAAAACAGAAAGCCAGCTTACCACCACAAGAGTGAACCAGATAACATTTTATTCTAGTTAAATGGTAACTATAGCGCCAAGAAAACAAACTTGTGTTCCTTGCACTATAGCTTCCCCCTTAGCCAAGCCCCCCCCCCTCCCCATGGTGTAGAAGGGGTTAACCCCTTCTGTCACATACCTGGGTCCAGCGCCCTTTGGCGCTGGTTCAGCTCTGCGCACCAAAAGTCGTCTAAGCACCTGGAAGTCTCTCTAGTGGCTGTCACTAGAGGAGGAGTTAACCCTAGCAGGTAAATATTGCAGTAATTACCATTCTAGGGTAGAGGGTGATAGGAGTTTGCAGTCAGACCACTTCAATGCCCCTTTAAAATACCAATAGTATCAATATAGCTGTACTCACCAACGAACAGTCAAGTCATGACTTTTAAGCAAAGGCACACAGACACTCCAATCCCACATCTCTCGAAAAGAAAATGTATCCTGTTTAAGAAATCTGTAGGCTGCTTCCATCAAGTCTCTTAGTTTCATTCGTCTTCTACCATAACGGACAGTACTTGAATCACTACTTTCCAAGAAAAGCCTTTGGAAAACTGGGGAGGCATTTCTAAAATACTTCAATGAAAACCTAAAAAAGAAAGTAGCGGAAAAAAAAAAAAAAAAAAAAGAGTCAGAATTTAGAGATACAGGGAAAACCAAAAAGTGAAGCTGAGAAAACCAAGGTTATTGGCAGATGTGTTTTGTTTAAATTTAATAGTTCAGTGAATCAAAAATTAAATTTGATCTCAGGAGTGCTGTGCTGTGATACAATTCACAAACACAGATGGAATGTTTACCTCCTGAGGCAGGATTATGGCATAGAATTCTGCAAAAATTTTCTTTTTGTGCAAACACTTAAGTTTTCAGCAAACAAAAACAAGAGCATATTAATCCAGTCAAAACCCATCAATTTTTTTTATTGGTGCCCGTACTGGGATAGCAAGAGTACTGCATGTAAGTATTCCTTTATTGCAACAAATGCCTAGGTTATGCAGTAAATTTAAGCAGGACATTATCCTGCCCTACATACAGGGTGGAAGACAACCTAAAATGCACACATAACATAACGGGTGAACACATGGGCTATAAGGAATCTCTCTCAGAAACACCATAGCATCACTTAAATATTTCACATGAATCAGAACTGATTTGTATTTATGGCTCCATCAAATGGAAGAAAATACTTTGATTTCTTTCTCTACAAAATAAAAAAAAATAAAAAAATCATACAACATCACAAATCCAGAAGACCGTACTCACGGCAGAACATCAGGACAGCTGCTGACCAATCTGCTCATGGCTACGCATAATCGCTCATGTAAATCATGATTAATCTGTGCTCCTGATTTAATAGACACTGCATTCCTCTCCAACAGATCCAGAAGCAAAGGTCTAAGCTGGCGACCAATCAGCAGTGTGCATTCCTTGTCCAACAGTAACTGGGCAAGAATTCCAAGGATGGCATCTCTGTCTTGGGGAGTCCATATCTGTAAGAAACAGGAAGAACAATTATACTCATGTGAATATTCACATTTGAACAAGTTATTTTGAATCACATTTTCGACAAAACATTTCTCCATATTCTTTCCACACTCTGTCATTAAGTGGAAACTGTACACTGACAAATTGAGATAATTAAGTTTATCTTAGGCTACATATAACTTCCATTCAGATTCCACCAATCATAAGTTCTGACAGTGCAAAGGCTGGTTTAATGACCAGCATGTGTGGGGCTATTGCAAAGTAACTAGTAATATGCAACATGTATAAGGCTATCACCGTCCCCAGCACATACAGGGCTATCCCAAAAGCCCAAGTAACATTGTCACATTTGACAAGATTATGCAGAGCCCCAAATAATGTGCAGTTTATATGAGGGCTATTACAGAACCCCAATTAATGTACATTGCAAATGACAGTACTGTAGAGCCTGGATAGTACTTGGGACTTGACGATTTGCGCGCAGGGATTTTATGCAATTAAAGACCCTTTATTTAAAAAGACCCTGCATTTTAAAACAAAAAGACCCCTCCCCAACCATATTCCTACATTCACGCACATCCAAGGAAAACATATACAGAAGGCCCCTCTGTAGTTGGTATTTTCATGGATCTGATTAACTCTCTCAGTTCCTTAAAAACGACTGAACTGCTGAAATCCTTCAGCCATGTTCTCATCTTGTTCATTGCACACACTAAATATTCATTCAAAAATACTGTGCTACTTGAGCATGCATATATGATTTTCATTCCCTGAATAAACCAATAAGGAACGCACATAAGGGTTAATGTTACCAATACAATTCCGTGAACGCTGCTTTTGAGTTGGCATTTGTGGGAATGGAACAGCTAATTGTATGCCTATCACATCTTGCATGTGAAATATCAGGGTGGAGGAGCTAGACTATATGGGTTGTCAATCAATTTTCTGGATCAGGATTACATTCGGCATGAATATCAATCTAGGCACAGGTTTGCTATATAAAATTAACTTTAAAAAAAATAAAAAATAAAAATTTAAGTGGCTCATCACTTTAACCACTATGGTGATCTTTAGTGGTTATGATGCAAGAATTTCAGAGGAGCATCCCGGCGGTAATTTGCCAAAAAAAATTAAGGTTGGTGCTACAAAAATAATTGTAATTCTAACAGTTTGCCAATTACCTTGCTGTGACTGGTGCTGTCCTAATAAAAAAAAAAAAAGTCATATGATAAAGCACATGTTTTTATATTTCTGCATTATTTTCAAATTTCAATTCAAACCAGATTTGGACAGTATTCAGTCTGTCGGTTGATTAATACTGTCTAAACCTTGGATTGGTTTAATCCCAAAATGACAATGACAAATCAAAAATATCCAGCTGATGAAAACAACCAAGTCTGATGTTGAAGAAGTGCTCCAAGTACCACAAATAGTGCAGCTCATTGTACGGTTTATGATGCTATGGGTGCTGTACCCAGTTCTTAAACTGTTTCAGAGGAGTTGTAATATTTTGCCAGTTCACAGCACATTTGCACATTCTGAGCCGAAGAGGGGTGGGATGGAGTTTAAAAAAAGAAAACTAACCTGCAAAAGAGGGAGGTGGGAAGGAAGGGAAACCAAGCTCCCCCTTGCTGTCTGCAAAGGAAAAGATCAATACACATTTTGGCAGCATGCAGTGTATCTTTTTGCACTTAATTTAGATTACGCAGCCCGAATCAGAGTTCAGGGCTGCCTAATTACTATGCCAGGGATATAAGTAGCCCCGGCACCAAAGTGAATATAACTATAGATACACACGGACTCCTAACACAATGACCACTTCTAAAAGCATAAGTGATCCTGGTGGTTGGAGCAACCATTTAAGATTTGACACAGACTAAGTACAGCAAAGGGGATAGTCCTGAAACTAAATTGTTATCAAAAATAGTTACAAATTAACTTTTATTTTATTAAAACCAAATACTCAAAGTGGACACAACACAAAACAGCATTATACATAGGTGATATCAGCTATAAACTAATCACCAAACTGATTAAATAGATAGAACCTTAGTAAAGCACCACAATGTATCTACTTGCATATATAAGAGTAGCAAGAAATTTAACACCATAGGAATATAATGAGTATCCCCTTAGAAGGCTGATTTTCATAGTCATAATAATCATCTGGTGTTAAATTTTTGCTACACTTATATCAGCAAGTAGGGCACATTATTTTCAATGTGATTACAATTCAAAGCCCTTTTTTAATATTTACTTTGAGGGACATCCTGAATTATCTATGGAAAGATTTTTGTGATGGCCCTGATACATCCTTTACAGTTAAAGGAAGTATTTTTGTTCTACTACTTTATTGGTGTGTACGAAGTTAGAAAAGTCTATACATAGATTTATTATGTATATATAAATTATTTTATAAAGAATAGTTGGAGAATTATCCAAATGAGCTATTTTGATCAATATTTTACAATTCAGATTTTAATGAATAACCCCAAACAGTTTGGAATTTAAAAAAATCTTTAGATGAAGCTTCTTTCATTCTACACGGTATGCACCAAAACCATAAAGCAGGGAGAAATCGATAAGCAGATTGCACCCGTGACTGTTGTCCCCTATTGTTAACTTTTTTTTATTAGAAGAAACTAAGAACAATTGCCATCAGTTCTGTTTCCCAGATTTAAATTTAAGAGGCAGGTCAGTTAAGCGAGATCCCTGAATCCATTATCTGCCTGTGGCCCTTTTAGGGATCGTGACAGTGACACTCAACAAAAGCAGCAACCTCTCTCTCCTTCGTCCACCGTCCCTCACCTGTTTGGACAGAAATTTGTTGAGCTCTCCTCCACTCCTTTGGGCGATTGCGCCCAGGCCGGGCAAGCTGAGCTGTAGATGCTCCATGTCCTGTGTTGGGATAAAAGGAGCCCTCTGCTCGGCCCGTGCGTGCACTACAAGTACCAACACTGGCCCACACGTGGGGGAGACAGGCGCAACGGACCACTTCCGGGAGCAATCAACGTCATCAGTAGTGCGACCGCACAACACTCTGCAATCACACAAGTATAGCTGTTGAAGAGTAGCACTTCGTTAGAACATTTTAAAATACGACACAAATCACTCCTGCTTAGCGTCATTTTTGGGGATTCTCTTTTACTTAACATGCGGCTGCCTTGCTCGGTATTTTCCGACAGCACTGGCAGCTCACATTTTTGATAATGAAACTTACACAACATATGGGTGCTTCTTCAAATGCTCGTTGCGTATGTAGGCCTTCTTGTTTGTAAATTAAAACGTGGGAAAATGAGCCAAGGATCATAAGAGCTCAGTCTGTGGAAAAAGATATATATACTTTAGCCTTTTTATTATTTTGACTTTGCTATCTTGCACATTATCTTACAATACAAAAAGAAGGCAGCCTGATCCTCCTCCTACAGAGCGCCGCAATTGTGGAACGACCTCCCGCACAATTTAAAATCTTCCCTAAGCCTAAAGCCCTTTAAGAGATCCCTCTCTACATACCTCAAAACAGAATGCACCTGGTATGGTTGATTATATATTTCCTACTTGTTCTATGTTAAATTTTGTATATATTGTGTAATAATATTTTCTGTATTTTATTGTACCCTAATGTAACAATGCAATGATTTGTGGACCCAGGACATACTTGAAAACGAGAGAAATCTCAATGTATCTTTCCTGGTAAAATATTTTTTAAATAAATTTTGCAATCCCTTTTGTATATTAGCTGTGATTTACTTGGGGTGTATAGGAAAGTGTAACATGCTGGAAGTTAAAAATTGTAGGCCAAAATAGCAAAACTTAAATACTCAAGCAACTGGGATTTATGGGAAAAATTGAAATTTTAGTGTAAAATAGCCTAGCTCTGTGAATAGCAGAATTGGAGAAAAACGTCAAATCCACTTATTTTGCCTACAATTTTTAAGTTTAGTTTTCAATTCACTAAAATGCTGGGGCTTACTCTTAATTACAATAAACTGAAATTTCAATGTTAAAAGTTGGGTAAAAATTAAATTTTGTTAAAACGGTTTGACTACTTACAATGGTGAAGGCACTCAAGGCACCATAACTATTGCATTGGTTTCCGTGCTTAGTGTCCCTTAACAAAATAACACTAGGACAATTTGCTTAGTATATGGTTTGTGCAATACATAAATTCTACAATAAATATGTAATTTGTATAAATCAAAGTGATCTGCGTAATCACTTGTCCCTTTCTATTCCCTTTTAAAAGAACACTATAGTGTTAGGAATAACAATGTAAACTTGTATCCCTGATGCTTGAGTGTCCTGCCATTGTGTGGTTATGATGCAAGAATTTCAGCGGAGCATCCCAGCGGTAATTTGCCAAACAAAAGGTGCAATTTAGAGATAAATAATCTCTAAGTGTTGTGGGATACACTTTTTCACTGCACCAGCAATTTTATATTTGTGATAATTGGTAGCGCCAATACACCTTGATTTCTTTGTAAAAGGTGCAATTTACTGCAGCAAGGGGGAAAAAAAGATACATGTCTAGGAAAGTTGTTTTTTAATTTTTTCTAATGCATTTGGGGCATTATATGGGTTTGTTCACGGTTGCTAGAACATGCCTAATGCTATGTAAATTGTGACCATGTTCCTTCTAAACGAAGCATTGGTATGGGAACCAAGACACACATAAGGTTTCTCCAACCCTTTTTTGTATTGATTAGAATAATGCCCTATTGGCATTATTCTTAAATTTCCCTACCAAAAAAGCACTTAAAGGACCACTATAGTGCCACCCTCAGGGCCCCACTCCAAGGGTCCTGAATGGGGAGGAAGGGGTTAAAATCTTACCTTTTTCCAGCGCCGGGGACTCTCCTCCTCCTCCTTTCCCCGTCATCGGCTGAATGCGCACGCGCGCGCATTCAGCCAGTCCATAGGAAAGAATTCTCAATGTTTTCCTATGGACGCTGGCGTCTTCTCACTGTGAAAATCACAGTGAGAAGCCCGGAAGCGCCTCTAGCGGCTGTCAATGAGACAGCCACTAGAGGCTGGACTAACCCATATGTAAACATAGCAGTTTCTCTGAAACTGCTATGTTTACAGCAGGCAGGGTTAAGCCTAGAGGGACCTGGCACCCAGACCACTTCATTAAGCTGAAGTGGTCTGGGTGCCTATAGTGGTCCTTTAAATTTCTTAGCTCCATGGAGCTAAACTCAAAAAAAGGCAAATGCTCAAAGCACCTGCAGTGCACAGACTTCTCATTGAGCTGCATTGGGAAGTCTGTGATTGAACTGTTACAGAAAGTCTTGGCTGGGTTATAAGGGGAATGTTTGCAAACGCTTCCGATAAGAGATATGCACATCTTGCAGACTGTTTTCAGTAATACCCGAATGAAGAAAAAAAAAAAATGCATAATGAAATGCATGCATGTTTTCATTAGATGTATACCTACTAAACAGTGATTTGTGAAAAGAAATGTGTTTCTGCTATGGAGTGTATCATAACATTTGTGATGCCCAACTCCCCACCCTCATCATGCATAAAACATACATAACTAGCCACTTATGAACATTTAGACACACTTAAAAGAGCTCATTGAAATATACAGAACATGGTAAAAAATAATATTTTTAACATGGGGCTAGTGTGGACAAACTCTAACACTGCCGAATACAAATTGTAATAGGAGATGGGACCCTCCATAAACCTAAGGAGTGTACTCTCACCCATGTGCAAGAGTACAGCACTAAATTGGATTCAGGCAACTGAACTGCCAGGATCCAAAGAGAACAGCAACATGAAGTTGGCAGTGGCCACAATGGACAGCCTGAGGTAAATAAAACTCACCTCCTTTGCACCCCTTGGCTACGGGACCAATATCAGATGTCAGTTTCTGTGTTTTCGTAAAATATGTAATATAAAGTGACACATCTGTTTTAACTGTTCTTTGTGTTAAAACAGGTGTAAGCGGCTCTCGCATAGACATCCTAAAGGCACTATTTGGCCCTCAGGATGCAGTGTGATGTAGTGGTTATAATGCTTTGTTCCATTGATTTGTAGGTAAGCCCAAAGGGTGTCTCTGTTTTCAGTCAGACCACTTGAAAATGATTTGCCCAAGAGTCTCACTGCACCATAACCACTGCATTGTCATGTAATTGGCTGAGAGTCTCACTGCACCATAACCACTGCATTGTCATGTAATTGGCCGAGAGTCTCACTGCACCATAACCACTGCATTGTCATGTAATTGGCCGAGAGTCTCACTGCACCATAACCACTGCATTGTCATGTAATTGTCCGAGTCTCATTGCACCATATCCACTGCATTGTCATGTAATTGGCTGAGAGTCTCACTGCACCATAACCACTGCATTGTCATGTAATTGGCCGAGAGTCTCACTGCACCATAACCACTGCATTGTCATGTAATTGGCCGAGAGTCTCACTGCACCATAACCACTGCATTGTCATGTAATTGTCCGAGTCTCATTGCACCATATCCACTGCATTGTCGTGCAGTTATTATTATGGTACCTACTTGTTAAAAGGGATACTAAACAGCAAAACCACTACACCAGAAAGGCAATGTTTATATTTAACCGAAAACACCAATCTAGAGAAAGCCAGACTATCAAAGAATAACAATCTGGTTTTCAGTCCTCCACAATGAAATAAACCCTGCGGGAATCCCCTCAGTAATCCAGCTTATAACGTGCAGTGAGTGGAGGTGCTCAGGACACCAGACATTGCCATATGTTACACTGACACACTATGTGTACCCGGCCCCCTGTGACCTCCTTTCCTCCACAGAGCTCGAGCTGCTCTAGACAAGACTTCCCGCCAAACCGATAGTAAGAAGGGCGGGGGCTCGTGACGTCGCGCGAACCGTCAGAGCGCGGCCGTTGATTGGAGAATCGGAGAATTGTCGGAGTTGTAGGGGTTCCAGCGGCGGACCCCCGGTTTCCTCGCTGTCCCGGGACCGGTGTGCGGGAGGAGGCGGCACGTTGGAGAAGTTCGTTTTGCAGGTGGTGGACCTGGGCCGGAACGAGGAATCCAGGCCTAGGGGAGGAGCTGGTGAGGGGATGGGAGGCCCAGATAATGGACCATGGGAGAGCTGTGTGCTGTATAATAACCACCATAACCACTTACCGACTGTGCTGTATAATAACCACCATAACCACATACCGACTGTGCTCTATAATAACCACCATAACCACTTACCGACTGTGCTGTATAATAACCACCATAACCACTTACCGACTGTGCTGTATAATAACTACCATAACCACTTACCAACTGTGCTCTATAACTACCATAACCACATACCGACTGTGCTGTATAATAACCACCATAACCACTTACCGACTGTGCTCTATAACTACCATAACCACATACCGACTGTGCTGTATAATAACCACCATAACCACTTACCGACTGTGCTCTATAATAACCACCATAACCACTTACCGACTGTGCTCTATAACTACCATAACCACATACCGACTGTGCTGTATAATAACCACCATAACCACTTACCGACTGTGCTGTATAATAACCACCATAACCACTTACCGACTGTGCTGTATAATAACCACCATAACCACTTACCGACTGTGCTCTATAACTACCATAACCACATACCGACTGTGCTGTATAATAACCACCATAACCACTTACCGACTGTGCTCTATAATAACCACCATAACCACTTACCGACTGTGCTCTATAACTACCATAACCACATACCGACTGTGCTGTATAATAACCACCATAACCACTTACCGACTGTGCTGTATAATAACCACCATAACCACTTACCGACTGTGCTCTATAATAACTACCATAACCACATACCGACTGTGCTGTATAATAACTACCATAACCACTTAGCGACTGTGCTGTATAATAACCACCATAACCACATACCGACTGTGCTCTATAATAACTACCATAACCACTTACTGACTGTGCTGTATAATAACCACCATAACCACTTACCGACTGTGCTCTATAACTACCATAACCACTTACCGACTGTGCTGTATAATAACCACCATAACCACTTACCGACTGTGCTCTATAATAACTACCATAACCACTTACCGACTGTGCTGTATAATAACCACCATAACCACTTACCGACTGTGCTGTATAATAACCACCATAACCACTTACCGACTGTGCTGTATAATAACTACCATAACCACATACCGACTGTGCTCTATAATAACCACCATAACCACATACCGACTGTGCTGTATAATAACTACCATAACCACATACCGACTGTGCTGTATAATAACCACCATAACCACTTACCGACTGTGCTCTATAATAACTACCATAACCACTTACCGACTGTGCTGTATAATAACTACCATAACCACTTACCGACTGTGCTGTATAATAACCACCATAACCACATACCGACTGTGCTCTATAATAACTACCATAACCACTTACTGACTGTGCTGTATAATAACCACTTACCGACTGTGCTCTATAACTACCATAACCACTTACCGACTGTGCTGTATAATAACCACCATAACCACATACCGACTGTGCTCTATAATAACTACCATAACCACTTACTGACTGTGCTGTATAATAACCACCATAACCACATACCGACTGTGCTCTATAATAACTACCATAACCACTTACTGACTGTGCTGTATAATAACCACCATAACCACTTACCGACTGTGCTCTATAACTACCATAACCACATACCGACTGTGCTGTATAATAACCACCATAACCACATACCGACTGTGCTCTATAATAACTACCATCACCACTTACCAACTGTGCTGTATAACTACCATAACCACATACCGACTGTGCTCTATAACTACCATAACCACATACCGACTGTGCTCTATAACTACCATAACCACTTACCGACTGTGCTGTATAATAACTACCATAACCACATACCGACTGTGCTGTATAATAACTACCATAACCACATACCGACTGTGCTCTATAATAACCACCATAACCACATACCGACTGTGCTGTATAATAACTACCATAACCACATACCGACTGTGCTGTATAATAACTACCGTACTCACATACCGACTGTGCTCTATAATAATCACATACCGACTGTGCTGTATAATAACTACCATAACCACATACCGACTGTGCTGTATAATAACTACCGTACTCACATACTGACTGTGCTCTATAATAATCACATACCGACTGTGCTGTATAATAACTACCGTAACCACTTACCGACTGTGCTGTATAATAACCACCATAATCACATACCGACTGTGCTGTATAATAACTACCATAACCACATACCGACTGTGCTCTATAATAACCACCATAACCACATACCGACTGTGCTCTATAATAACCACCATAACCACATACCGACTGTGCTCTATAACTACCATAACCACTTACCGACTGTGCTGTATAATAACTACCGTAACCACTTACCGACTGTGCTGTATAATAACCACCATAACCACATACCGACTGTGCTGTATAATAACTACCATAACCACATACCGACTGTGCTCTATAATAACTACCATAACCACATACCGACTGTGCTGTATAATAAGCACTATAGCCACATACAGACTGTGCTGTATAATAAGCACTATAGCCACATACAGACTGTGCTGTATAATAAGCACTATAGCCACATACAGACTGTGCTGTATAATAAGCACTATAGCCACATACAGACTGTGCTGTATAATAAGCACTATAGCCACATACAGACTGTGCTGTATAATAAGCACTATAGCCACATACAGACTGTGCTGTATAATAACCACTATAGCCACATACCGGCTGTGCTCTATAATAACCACTATAGCCACATACCGGCTGTGCTCTATAATAACCACTATAGCCACATACCGGCTGTGCTCTATAATAACCACTATAGCCACATACCGACTGTGCTCTATAATAACCACTATAGCCACATACCGACTGTGCTCTATAATAACCACTATAGCCACATACCGACTGTGCTCTATAATAACCACTATAGCCACATACCGACTGTGCTCTATAATAACCACTATAGCCACATACCGACTGTGCTCTATAATAACCACTATAGCCACATACCGACTGTGCTCTATAATAACCACTATAGCCACATACCGACTGTGCTCTATAATAACCACTATAGCCACATACCGACTGTGCTCTATAATAAACACTGGGAGCTGGACTCCCATAACCACATACCGACTGTAATGGGATATGGTACCATAACCACATACCGACTGTGCTGTATAATAAACACTGGGAGCTAGACTCCCATAACCACATACCGATTGTACTGGGATATGTGCACCATAACCACATACCGATTGTACTGGGATATGGGCACCATAACCACATACCGACTGTACTGGGATATGGGCACCATAACCACATACTGACTGTACTGGGATACAGTCAGTATGTGGTTATTCCTCTTGTTGCATTGCTGTACGGGTTAACCGAGTGCTCTCTTAGACTAATTTTATATAGTGCTGATTTCAATTGAAATTCAAATTTCACCCTGCTGTCAATCAGTGAGTACTCAAAGCCGTAGAAGCTTTTTATTGGCACAGAGCAGTTATTGTGGACATGTCCCATAGAACCCAAATGATTCTCTATAGCAAGAATTGGATGTATATAAATACTGCATGTGCTGCCCTACTAATTTAAATGTAATATTTTTATTTTTTTCTTCTTCATGCAGTTGGAGATGTAAGCCTGCAAAATGGCAGAAAAATGTAACACAAACGAAGACCTGGACATGATTAGTTTTTTTGATGTTTATAGTAAGTATTGTGTGGGTGGGGTTGAAATCTTTTTGTGCTTCTATACTAATAAAGGGACTGTATTCCTAGTGATTGGTATAGAAAACTTGATCTAACTCTGACTACTTCTTCCCATTTTTTATTTATTTATTTTTTTTCTGTGTTTGGGGGGAGGGGGTAATTGTCTGGAAGAAAGTGTTGGCATAAGGCAAACAAGGGGTTATTTTGTCATGTAGACATGATGATGTTTTGCAAAGCGCAGAGCTGTTATTTGGGAGCGATGGCTAATGGAAATAGGCATTATGTCATGTGATGCGCAATCAATTACAATGTTATTTTAGAGCACATATGCAAGATCTATGAGGATCATTTATAGACAACATTTTATCCTCTCACAGCTCCTGGCAGATTAAGCCAGAAGAGCTAAAGACTGATTTAGAAAATTAAGGTGTTGTTGCCAAACAGTGAGAGGTTTCCACTGACACTTCTGTGTGTAAACAGCACAAGTGTCCGAACAAAGGCACTTTAAAAATGATGGAATAAGAATCTGCATAGTCTCCACCAGTTCATCTTTGACAGTTTACAGTTTCCTTCCTTGTCAAGTATGGACCATTGACTGTTGTAGTGATTAACCCTAACAGAGTTATTCCCAAAATCGGGAATTGGACAAGAATATTGAAAGTTTTATTCCAAAATACTTTAAATAGGGTTGCAAACTCCAACTCTGCTTTTATTCCAACTCTGATATTCCTTAAATTTGCAGTTCCCATTTAAATCCCAACAATTTCATCTTGTTATGGTTTTTAACAAAGTGAATTCAAATGTTTTAGGCCACAGTAACAGAATTGGACCAATTTTCCAGGTCAAGAGGTAGTAAAGCGGCTGTAAAGTGTTTAATATCTTTAAATAAATCGTATCTACAATCATATATTACAAGAAGTGTTCATTTTTTATTTTATTTTTTTACTCCATAACCTATTTAAAATCCTATAAGTCTTACTTGGAACTCAGTGCCCAGCCAAGTTCTTCCAATCTTTTCCACACCTTCTTATATGTCAATGCTGCGTCATTGCCTTCTAGGTTATGGTCCATTCAAACCTTGTCACAGAGAAGCATTAACATACCTCGTGTTCAGCGATTGCGTCAATCAGACAGTAGGACAAGGAGGGATGGAATGTGGGTCTTAAGGTGCAGAAGGGGGACTAAGTGGTAGACATGCTTATTGAATAATGGATAAATAGGTGTGATGGCTTTGATGGCTGCAATGACCTAGGTGAGTGAAAAATTAGATCTGTGGCTTTTACTTAGACTGTGCATGAGAGCCACACAGTCCTATAGGCTTCTATTTGCAGGCACGCTAACAGCACTGCACATGCTGATTGCATTCTCCTTGACCACTTCTAAAAGCAGAAGTGGTCATAGAGGTTGCGCTAACTCTTTAAAATGAATCATCAATATTATTTTATTTATTTTTGTATTCAGGCTCTCCAGCAAAAAGTGAGGCCAGTTCCCTGGATATATACGATGGATTGGATACAACATTTTCAGGTAGGCATTATACATTTCTGGTACTAGCTGGGCAAGGGAATCAGGAGTATATATTCAAGAAATATTGATTATCTATGTGTATTTATTTTGTTTGTTTGTAGTATACTACAGTTTAACACTACTTTTATTAAGTATACTGAACATTTCTGACAAGAATAAGCTTTGTATGTATAGGGACACACCTAGACCACTTCACCTCATTGAAGTGGCCTCAATGCAGTGTCTCTGTCCCTGTAAATGTTTACATTGCAGGGTTAAGACAACCTCTAGGGGCACTACCTGCAATCTTATGGAGTTGGACATCCTCCCATGAGGTCCTTTGCATGAGGACATCCAGCATCTTCAAAATCCCAATGGGAAAGCATTGATTCAGTAATTTTCTATGTGGAAGGTCTAATGCGCTCAGCATTTGCTGCTCATATGCATTCGCTTCCCCCATCAGCATAACATTTCAGTATTTCCTGGAGAAGGAAATCAATCCAGGACTGAGGGAGCTTGGAATCAGGTTAATTGAGTAAAGCGTTTTTAACACTTCAGTCACCTGGTGGGGGTTCGCAAAGGAAAGACTAGAGTTAGGAATACAGTTTTGTATTCCTAATGATATATACCCAGATATTGAGATCCGACACAAAGAAGAAAAAATAAAGGGAAAGGAAGTATACTTATTAAGGTACTGGTGGCCCGAAGGAAAGGACAACCGAAAATGAAAGGAAAAAATATATATAAGGCTGCTTTAATAAGATTTTATTAAACACTGTTAACAGGAGAGGCAACTAACTAAATACCAGTCTGTAGTAGACCAGATAGCAGTTGGAATTCTTGGAGTCTTGACTCTTTCTCACTAAAAATAAAAGTGCATGTCATAACAACATATTGGGTGCACACAAAAGCTTATTTTATGACATTTGCTGTTGCATAGAAGGTATGACATGGCACAGTTTTGGCAAGTTACTGTATACAGATTTAGTCAATGATCTCCTTAAAATATCAAAGGAACTCTGTTCTGATTAAATATATAAAGATTAGATTGACACCCCCTGAATTAAAATGAAAAACTTTTTTTAAGTTCAGCTTTGTCTCACTTCAGGAGTTGCTCTTTCTACTGTGAGATCATCGGTGATGATCTTGGGCAAAGACAGAGCTTCTCTGGCGTGATGATGAAGACATTTAATTGTTGAAAGTCATCACTAAGATGTTCCTCTAGTGGCTCTCTGACAACTGGTAGAGGCATGATGACTGGGAAATGTAAGCATTGTCCTCTCAGAAATGACACTTACATTTCGTAAAACTGCAGAGACAGTCTATTACATTATGATATTACCGTATGTTTTTTTTGTTTTTTTTAGTGTGTCTTTTAAATTGTGGGGCAGTTAAGCTGGCAGAATGGTGCCTAAATGGGCAGTATGGTACCCTAAACAACTTTCTTACAAAAGTGCTTTAGGGATTAACTCTTTATCATCTCTGCATTCTTTTTTTTTAAAGTACAGATTTCAAGAGAAATTAGCACTTTTCATATCCTGAAGTAGCACCTCCTCCTGTCAAGCAGACAGCTGATGGAAGGGGTGGGGGGGGTGGGGTGGCTTTCCTATTTAACAAACTTTGAAATGTTCTTCAAGTAGTAAGAGTACTTCTCATAAGAGGTGTATAGCTGACAGATAGCAGCTGTTGCTGCCGATGTGCATTGTGTCCCACTGCTTCTTTATGAAGCAAGTTTCTTAGACACTTCTTTTTTCTAAGTGCTACTTTAATTATTATTATTTTTTTTTTTATTATTATTATTTGTTGGCAAAAAGTAACAAAGAATTTTTTTTCAGGGGAACTTCCAGAATCTAGCACACCTTCAAGGGACTGCCTTGATTTATATGAGGAGATTATTACAGAAGAAGTTGCTGCAAAAGAAGCTTCGTTCAATGATGTATGTATCTGAAATCCAGTTTCTCAACCTGCAAGCTCTCTTATGGAGTACTTCTCAAGTGGCAGTTTAATTTCAGAAATCCATGATGATTGTGTGAACTATTTATTGATTATTACTCCCTTTTTTTTTTTTTTTTTGTGATACCTGACTCAAGAGATCGGTTTCTAGTGGTTAAATTTTTTTTAGCTAAACTGTGGTATAGGATATTTTGTAAAATGTTAAATACCTGACAGGATGCCAAGTAATATTCCATCTGAGCTTGTATAGACCATTTTAAATGGGTAAAATAAATTATAATTTTATAAAGAACAAGTCGATGAACCAGTAAACACTAAAACAGTCTGGAGAATAGTGGTATTATTATGGTCATTTCTTCTGAGGAGAATGTTAACAGGACACACCAGCTTGCAGAGGTGCTTAATGTTTGAAGTGTGTCCTCTTTGTAAATGGGGGGAAAAAAAGAATAGGTGCAGATTAATAGAAATTGGCACATCTATAAATTAACCTTGTTAACAGCCTGTTGACTATCAGACCCCCTGTCCTCTTACTTCTTGGTACTTTATCTCTGGAGCTAAACTCAAATCTTGGAAATACTTTTCATTTTAGCTGCAGTGCAAAGTCTGTGATTGGACATCCACAGAAAGTCTGGACTCGGTTAGAAAGGAGGGCTTGAAAAAGCAGCACACATTTTTTCTATTTCTATTAATGAAAATTAAAAAAATTGATACTTTTAGTCTGTTTTTGTGTATTATTTGGTAATACATGCATATAAATTAATACCACTTTTCAGTGCATCGCCTCACTGATGCTTGCTCATTTATTGATGACTGCTTTCCTTGTTTATTTTGCTAAATATTTCCATTTTTTTTTTCTTATAGTTGCAATCTGAGTATGAAAAGTGTCAGAAAAAAATGAAAATCCTAATAAGCAAATTCAAGGAAATACAATTACAGGTATATTGTTAAATTAATAATTTTTTTTTTTTTAATACTTTTATGGAGTAATGCACTTTCTATTTCTAATTTATATAGTTATGAATATCAGTTCTTATTATTGAATTATGTAATACGTTGATAAAAATGTGATGTTCCTGTTTTGTACTTTCATTAATGACAACTGCATTTAACCTTCTTATTCTTTACACCACTCACTCAGAAATGTCAACAATATTTAAAGGAACACTGTAGTCTCCTAAATTACTTTAGCTAAATAAAGCAGTTTTAGTGTATAGATCATTCCCTTGCAATTCACTACTCAATTCACTGTCATTTAGGAGTTAAATCACTTTGTTTCTGTTTATGCAGCCCTAGCCACACCTCCCCTTGCTATGATTGACAGAGCCTGCATGAAAAAAAAAAAACTGGTTTCACTTTCAAAACAGATGTAATTTACCTTAAATAATTGTATCTCAATCTCTAAATTGAACTTTTAATCACATACAGGAGGCTCTTGCAGTGTCTAGCAAGCTATTAACATAGCAGGGGATAAGAAAATCTTAATTAAACAGAACTTGCAATAAAGAAAGCCTAAATAGGGCTCTGTTTACAGGAAGGGTTTATGGAAGGCTGTGCAAGTCACATGCAGGGAGGTGTTACTAGGGTTCATAAACAAAGGGATTTAACTCCTAAATGGCAGAGGATTGAGCAGTGAGGCTGCAGGGGCATGTTCTATACACCAAAACTGCTTCATTAAGCTAAAGTTGTTCAGGTGACTATAGTGTCCCTTTAATTAAAAGTGGTCCCTGCTATATAAGATGAACAGAGGAACTGAAGACTAAGGCCCTGATTATCAAAGGATATATATATATGTGTGTGTGTGTGTGTATGTATGTGTGTGTATGTGTATATATATATATATATATATATATATATATATATATATATATATATATATATATATATATATATATATATATATATATATATATATATAATATATATGGGTCGAAATATCTTGATAAAGACCCTATTGGGTCGAAACGTTGATGACTGATTTTTTCAACACCGGATTATAAACTAGTTTGAAAAATCCCTTGGAGTGCTCCTTCATTGATTATACATACCGAGGCTTGGAAGCACCCGGGTAATTTCTGTACTTTATTTTGGATTTAAAGGAAGAGTGCCAGAGTTTGCTTTTATTTATATATATATATATATATATATATATTATTTTTGAGCTATTCTAAAAGTTTATCCAAAAATATTAAATCCATTTAAAAGTGTATCTAAATATAGTAAATCAAAGTAAGAGCACCACAATAATGTATACAAATGACAGTGTGCTAAAACACCATACATTACTTACTACAGCCACTTTTACAAACCACTTATTATATATGTTCCTTTTTTCTTTTTTAAGCAGCTATTCTGGAGTTTCATATTACATGCTCAACTTTGTGCTTTTACATAGCTTATCATTTAGATAAATGTCCTGTGTGACATATTGTGTATAGTAGGATCAGGGAGCAGCACCTGTGATGGAATTCCCACGCTCGGAGCGATACGGAGGAGGGAAGGAAAAAGACACTGATATAGTGTAGTATGTTAGGATCTTAAGTGGTAGTAAATGAAGAGAAAGGAATTGCACTTACAATTTTCCTTTCTCTTCATTTACTATCACTTAAGATCATAACATACTACACTAGATCAGAGTCTTTTTGCTTCTCTTCTCCATATCGCTCTGAGCGTGGGAATTCTATCACAGGCGCTGATCCTACTATTTACACCCATCTTACCACCAGGAAAAAAAGAGACTCTGGTTTTTGGGAAGTTTCAAAAGCCACATACTATAATTACAAGTACTGCTATTCCACCCACACCTATATTGTGTATAGTGTTGAAGATATGTGATTTGTTTTGTCATATATATTTTGTCTGCCTAACAAATAATAGATTATAGTACTGGTAATTAAGTCAGGGTTTTCTTTTAGTCTGAAGAACATTTATAGACGATGGGGAAGAGCTTTGAAGATTTTTTAAAAACAGTTTATTGTACATAAAACTACAGTGTTGACACAAGCACAAAAAAGGAGAGGTCTTGGGGGCGGAGCATGACAGCCAACCGGGGCAAATGCAGATACTGACCAATTTTAAGGAGTATCCTACCTCATTTTCTACAGCAAACCTGCTCTCTTTGCTTAACTAAGCTATATCTACAGTCTGAACAAGTCTGAGAAGACATTACAACCAGTGTTGCTAGTCCTGGCAGCCTAAAGTATCAGATTGGGTGGAGGGGACGGCATATCCTTCGCTTCACAAATTTCTGGCTTGTTTTTGGGCCCTTTTGGACTGCTGGTAGTCCTGTTTAACAAACTTTGAAATGCTCTTCAAGTAGTAAGAACCAGTGGTATTCTTTCTCTTGTATAACATCAGCGTGTTTGTGATCGTGGGTACTATGCCCTTCTCCAGAATAATAGGCAAACAGTGCTTCAATCTTGCACTGTTTTTGTTCTCCCTCACTTATCGAATAGCACTGTGTTCTTTTATTCATGTTACTATAAAAATGTGCACCCTAACAAATGTGTTTTATTTGTGGGATATATTTGTCATTTGACCAATCTTATAACTGTGAATGTTTCACAGGATGTATCTATGCACTTTAAAAAGAAAAAACAATCTACATAAAAAAGGTCCTAGTTGGACTGGAGTGTACCACTCCAGTCCAACTAGAACCTTTGTTTTTTCAAGTGATTAGTATTATGATGGTTGATTGAGTTCATGTCTGTGTTCTGCTTCTTCGTGTAACTGTGGAAGACCATTTTAAGTGTAATTGTGTTTATATTCTCTTGCAATAGAACACAAACTTGCAGAATGAAAATCAGTGCTTGAAGAAGAATATTTCAGCTCTCATAAAAACAGCAAGAGTAGAAATTACTCGCAAACAGGAAGAAATTGACCAGCTCACCCAGAGGTAATAATGGTTTATGATTTGGTAATTGGATTTTACTGAATTATCTTAATGTGTCCATTATTAACATATACGTTGTAAATCCTTTTTAGAATGTATGTTACCTTTCCTCCCTTTTTCCAAATGTAAAAAAATATTGAAACTGCAATAGATGACCAAATTACCCACCCAGACATTTCAGCCATATACAAATTTCTTATTCCCAAAAGTCATAAATATATTGTAGTTCAGGGCAAACATGGTGCCAATGGCTGTTCCCTTTAATTGCAAATAAAACTAATCTATAACCCAAAATTATTTATAATAATCCAATCTATACACTGTAAAATAAATGACGCTGCTCAACAGACATGCCCACTTTTTCCCCAAAACATATTTCACTGACTCCCTTATTCTTCTAAATTGTAGTGTACATAGAACTGACTTTACAAGTTGCTAACCTATATCTACTTCTCCATTCAGTGTTTTTATCAATTAGACCAGTCATGTTGGTTTTATCTTTTAAAAATACTTTGTTTTTGATGATATGGTATTCATTTTGGAGCTTATAGTCTTCGTATTCAGACAAATGTTAAGAGATCACTAAAGCCACCCTCAAAACGACAGGTCTCCCTGGTGGGTTTTTTCATATTCTTATGTAGTTTTGGCAAAACGTAAAAGGGATTTTAGCGTATTGAACAATAAGAATACTACTATTTAAAATATTCTGCTTCCTGCAATTATCTTGTTTTTCTTTTTCATTTCAGTAACAATGTATGTGTTTACTGCCTAAATTAACACCACGACAATATCGAGGTGTGCATACTTGGTCAGATTTGTGTCTACCCACTTTCCTGGACTGCACTGCCCCCTCTTGTTATAAACCAATATTCAATACATTTACTTTAAAATTACAAGTTTATATTTACATTGTTTTTGTTTTTATTTCCTCTTGTAGTTTATTGGCATCTTCTAGGATACGTGGTGGCTATCCCATTCCTGCACTGATAAAGAGCTCGCATGTGATAAAATCAAAAGTTGACACGAGGTGCAGAGACTTGAGAACAAAAAATGTGGAGAATGTTGTTAGAACTGAAGTTAAAGACCAAGTCCATTCTTCTGAAGGAACTATGTGTACTAGTGCTAGTAATATTTCTGAAAAAGAGACTTTTGATACTTCATCTAGAGATTCTAGAGCAAAGAATGTTGATAGTACTGTAAGAACAGAGTTTAAAGTTCAAGGCCATTCTCCCGAAAGCAAAAAATATCGCAACTTTACTAAATGTACTTCTGAAAGCGCAAAAAATGTGGAGAGTGTTATAAGAACGGACATTACAATCCAAGACATTAACTCTGAAGGCAATATTTGTGGTTATTCCAGTAAAAAAACTTCTGAAAAGGAAACCATGGAGGCAATCATTACTGGCTCACGATCAACACATTTGGAAAGTTTTATAACTGACGTTAAAGCGCAAAGCAGTTCTTCTGAAAGCAATATATGTAATAATATTAAAAAAAATCTTTTAGAAAAGGAAAAGTTATCAGATTCTGCAGAAAGTAGTATGCAAAGTACCCCAAAATGTTCAAATATTAAGCTACACATGGAAAGTTTAGAATCCCCTTTACAGAAGCTGATGTCTGAGTGGCACCAAGACGCAAAGGACAAGAAAACAAGGAAAGAAAAGGACACCGATTACCAGGTTAAGGACAGTGACCAAAGACGGCGGAAGGAGGAACGGCAGTATACTAACAGTACTTTAGCAAATAAAAACCGAAGCTTTGACCTTAGGGACAAGTTACAAGAGTGGAGTTCAAACAGAGGAAAAAGTGAAGGTGGGCAAGAAAGCCGAAGCACAAAGTCTGATATGAATTATGACATAAGCACTAGAAAATGTTTTACTTCAAGCTCTTGCGACAAACCAGGCACTTCAAGAGAGAGAAAGCATTTTAGAGATGAATCACGTCAAAGAGATAGGCATAAAAACACCTGCGAGAATTCAGAACGCAAGAGGGAGTCTAGAAATTATAAGAGAGACAGAGACACAGATTATAGAAAGAGATCAGAAGAAACAGAAGATAATCTGCTGCGAAGGTCTAAACGAACTCCAATTTTATATTCCAATGACGAAAAATCCTCAAATTCACACTGTGATTTCAATGATCAAAGGAATAGTAGTGATCCTGCTGGAAGAGAAAAGCACTTATTTCAGTACAATAATGAAATTAAGTCATCATACAATAAAGAATCAAATTCAGGCGTGCATAATAAAAATGAAATGACCACACCTAAAAATGATAAGAATATCCGAGAAAACAAAAGTACAAAACATGATCGCGATAAAAGAGGTGATGGAAAAAAACGGTCACAGCAGGATCGAGATCTAGGCAAGAATGAAAGTAAAGAACACAAGGAAAAAATTACCACTCAATCTCCAAATAAAAGACACCATACAAATATCTGTGGAACAGAACAGCCTGGAATTTCTGGGAGCAGAAGTACAATTCATATCGAGAAAGAGTCACTTGGTGACAAACAACCAAACACCAAGAAAGATTTAAAGTTGTCTTTTATGGAAACTCTTAACCTAACACTTTCTCCTGCAAAAAAGAATTCTCAGTGTGAAGTGGACACAACTTTACCTGACATAAAATGCAATACCAGTGTATCAAAAGTGATTATAGAGTCATCTCTTGATCTATGTCTAAGAAGTACACAGGAACCAAACTCCAAACAGCATTTAGGTAGCACTTTGAGTGCGGTCTCAAAAACAGATGTAGAATTACAGCATTTAAATAGCTCTAGAGATGCTGTCTCGGAAATCAGTATACTAAAACCTCACTCAGATGTCTCTCGAGATGGTGCAAAGACTAATGCACCAAAAGAGCATTTAGACAGCCCTAGAGAAGCTGTCTCAAAGACTGATGCACCAAAAGAGCGCTTAGACAGCTCTGGAGATGTTGTGTCAAATATGGATACACCAAAAGAGCATTTAGACAGCCCTGGAGATGCTGTCTCAAAGACTGATGCACCAAAAGAGCATTTAGACTGCCCTGGAGATGTTGTGTCAAATATGGATACACCAAAGGAGCATTTAGACAGCACTGGAGATGCTGTCTCAAAGACTGATGCACCAAAAGAGCATCTAGACTGCCCTGGAGATGTTTTGTCAAATATGGATACACCAAAGGAGCATTTAGACAGTCCCATATATCCAGATTTAAAAATGGATGTACAAAGTACAACTGAAGAGATGAAAGTTGATTTTAAATTAAAAGAGACCGCTTCATGTGACTCTGAAAGCATTGCAGATCAACCAGAGATTAATAGGAAAATTATGCAGACACAAATTCTTGAAGGTGCCTTACAAACGACTGTTGCAGGAACCAATGCAACTCCTACAAAAATATCTCGAACTTATCTCATACGTGAAGCTGATGACGTGTGTTCACTAAGCCCTCAGGAGGTGGAGAACAGTAGTTTTGTAGATCTTGTAGAACTGGGGTCCTTTATTGAAATTGACAAATGCAGTGGAAGTGATAGCCCTCTGCCGTCTAATACAAGCAAAGACGTTATTATTGACCTCTGCCAGGAAGAGGACTCCTCTGATGATGCTGACAGCAATACAAACAATTCCAAGTCAAGTGTAAATGAGAGGTCAAAAGGTATATATAAATCCTCAAATATTGATCTTCTAGACTTAAACAAGCAAGGAGCCGAATATAAATCTGACGAGGAAAGCTCCATAATGAGCATTGACTTAAATGTTCTGAGGAACATTCCTAAAGTCATCAGCCCTCTGACCAGCCCAGAAAAGCCTTTAGGCAAGCTGCACAAAGTTAAGGGCACAGCAAAGGCTTCTATAGTGAGAGTTTTGAAGAAAGGTACTTTTTTAATCCTTTTTTTTTTTTTTTTTTGGGTTGTTTACTATACACTTCTAAAACCAGTTCTCAAGGGCCTCCGACTCGCCAGCTTTTATTTGTTAAACCTACTGTAACAGAGCAAGGGCATCTTCAATTCCCAAATCATTGCAATCATTGAGGATTGATTTCAGAACTACTGCATTAAACAAGTTGTAGTGAATTATCAATTGACTTGTCAGTTGAAGATCCTTTTTTAACTTTGCTTCAGGTAGCTTAGTTGTCAACTCACCACAATTTTACTTTGTTTTGAAATAAATTCACCAAACAGGCACTCAAGACTGGAGTTGACGTACCTCCCCATTTTTATTAGATTATGGTGATAATGCCAAGCATAACCACCAGGCATGTGCCCCTCCCGCCTCTCCTCTTTTGTTATGGAGAGCTGGGAGCTAACATAAAAGGTCAGCTCATTGGCCAAGAGCATTAGTTAAACGTGCTTTCTCTGTTTTGGCTTAACTCTGGCAGATAACTTCAGGCTGCATTGAGGCTGGGGGCAGTTCTTGGTGATGCCCAGGCAAGAAGTCAAATCATTCACAAACCGTTGGAAATTTATAGTTTGTTTGTTTAAAAAAAAAAAAAAGGTTTTATATCAAATCGGTTTTCCTTTAGAATGTCCATTATTTACTGTAGCTGTAGATATGGCTGAAACCTTCTGACATAAAGGAGCAAAAATAGTTTGGCCATCCTGTGATTTTGGGGGGCAATTTTCACTTAATAGTAAGTCACATCTTTAATCCTCAGAATGTGCTACATCTGTGCTGATTCTGGGAAGAAGATTCAGGAATATGTTACCTGGGTCTCCCTTCTTTCAGCTAGGGATGAATTTCTGCAGGAAAAAAAGGAAATTTGGGGTGGAGGGGGCACACCCAGAACATGCATTTCTTAGTAGTGGTTCTGCACATAGACCAAAATAAATGCAAAATACAGATTGAGGAACAATGTACGGACACCAAAAAATAAAATTTTAATATTTTACAAGGCTACTTAAAAT